CAACACAGAGATCCGTCGACGCCAAGGAACGAAACAAAAGCTTAGATGGAGGATGAAGACGAGAATCCTTTTTAAGGGCAACCAAGATCAGAAGATTTCCTAAGATTGCACTTCCACTAAAAACTGCATTCAAAACAGTGGAAACATAGCCAACCCAAGTAGGTTCTAGGTCTCCAAGGATATCGATAAACTGAGGACACCTAAGGTCCATTTGATTAACCAAGATATTAGTATAGTGCAACATGAAATATTTTAAGAGCCTACCAAATGTGACTTAATTGAAGAGAAAACAACGCTTAGCATGTGCACTTCTGTTGCCTAAAACATTTACCAAAATGAGGTTGACGATTTTAAATCATAATTTAAAACTTATTTCCCGTTACTAAAGAGATTTTTATTGTGATTAAATACTAATGACACACTAATGTGTAGCCGGAGGGAAACGTTTTTATCTTGAGGGAAGGCGAATAGGTTATTCATCTCCCATCACTTTCGTTTAAATCTGATAAAATACCACAGGACCACAAATTATCAAGGTAATGTATAAAGTGAGGGAACAAAAATTATACTGCATATCAAATCTCTCGCCCGCACTTATATATTCCTACATTTTAGCCATCCCTCTCTCCTCCTCCGACTCTCTTCTCTTGTTCATCCCTTCTATTCAGATTTTCCACCAGTTTTCCCTCCACCATAAAACGGTTTCTTTGCTACTCAATAATTTGCATAATGAAGGCATATGAAAAAATCACTAATACAGTTTTAGACCTCAAGAAAATACTTATTTACCTTTTTGATAATGACCAAAAGGGCATTTCCCGTCACATTAACAATAACTTGTCAAGCAAATGTTGATAAGATGAAAGAAAGATGTCAGGCAGAGGATAATCAGTTGGATCAGTATGACACCAAATTCTCAGAGCTAAACTAACAAAGCCGGACTTATAAAAAGACTTATTGGAAGCCGGAAAGGATTGTTGGAGTTTCAGTTAGCATTGAACCCAGCTTTACGAGGTTATGTTGAAGATGGTGCTTTTAGAGGAAACATGAAATACGTGTTATTTGTCGACAATCCCCCTAGGCAATTTGTTCAATTTTTTGCAGAGAACTTTCCATGTATAGGAAAGGAAAATCAACCTATTCTGGAAAGGGCGTTCATTGCACAATAAATGACTTTTAAGCTTTTATCATATTCCTGGTTTTGGATTATTTAATGACATTTTTAGTGTTTACATTTTGGAAAGGGCGTTCATTGCACAATAATTGATTTTTAAGCTTTTATCATATTCTATTTTATTTAATGACATTTTCAGTGTTTACATTTCCTTATCTATAAGCATACCTATCGACCGACGAGAACGTGCATACCATCTTAAATATTTTTTTTGGCTGATAGGTTATTTCTTGGCCTTGCATGATCTTATAATATATTTTGTGAGGATATGTTTAAGAAAGCCGCTTACGAAAAAACCGTGGCAAAGAAACAACAGAGATACTCTCGAAAGAGCGACATGTCGAAAAATAATCAATTTTTAGTTGTTTCCACTCTGTATTGGATGATTGGGTTTGTTCCTCAAAGGATACCACCTGACCGAGCGTGGATTTCGTGTTGTATAATTGACAATCTCCTCTCTTCAACATGCAGCAAAACGTTTGATTTTTCTCTGGAAAAACATTGACAGTAGCATTGGGGATTTTCTTTGATCGTGAACAAAATTGACCCTTAAGGCTAGTTTTAGAGCACTGCACCGGTATCGGATGGTTCATGGGCTCAATTCCTGTGCGAACCTAAATATTTTGTCCAAGCTTTGTCTTCACTATTGCTCAAGTAATGTTCATTACAACAAAGATCGCTATCATCTTTATCTATAAATCCGCAATTCATATATATGATATTCATTTCTTCACAGTCGTTTATGAATCTTTTATCATTAATTACTGCTGGAAGCAGGAAGAGAAAAGATTTCGCAACGTCAAAATTACAGCTCGTCTTACTTCCCTGATCTTCCAGATATAAACAAGTGGGTTCAGGGAGGAATTGAGAAAAACCACCGTAGCCATGGACACCAGCCATACTGCATTAGTGGCATCGGGTCCTTTTATAAGTCTTACGGCTGTAGCGTAAGAAAATGGCACATAAAACGATACCATTAAAAGCGAGATCCATAGCAACTTATAGACTGTCTTTTTATACCTTAGCATGTGTCCTGTTTGTTGTCCAATTTCAGCAATCTGCCGCGCGCGTCGACGCCGCATAGTGACGAAAATCATGGTGTAGCAGAAAATTGTTAGTATAAGACATATTATCACAATAAATGTCAGAATAACCAAGAAGAAATTATGTTTCCAAAACTGAAACGTACCAATCGCTAAAACTAGCAACCAGGAGAAAACAACAATTCTACGAACACGGGCCACTGTAACAAAGTGTCGGTATCTCATTCCCAACTGCAAGGCGAGGAATCTGTCCACACTTATCCAAGTCAATGTGCATAGCGAAATGACAGTAAAAACAACACAGGAAAGGTTGGCCACACTTTCAGATGTTTCACAAAGGCTATATTTTTTTTTAAGAATTAAAATAAGATAAACAACGAAACTTGGCTGCGCAATAAGGCCAACGCAGAGGTCCGTCGACGCCAAGGAACGAATCAAAAGCTTAGATGGAAGATGAAGACGAGAATCCTTTTTAAGGGCTACCAAGATCAGAAGATTTCCTAAGATTGCGCTTCCACTAAGAATCACATTCACAACAATAAAAAAGTAGTCAATCCAAGTTTCCCCAAGGTCTTTAAGGATATCGAAGAACAAAGAACACCTTAGGAGTATTTCACCAACTTTAGCATTCTCCATGGAGGGATTATGGTAGGAGTTTGCAGGCAACATGACGAGCAAACTTTCTGATAACTTTAAGCAATCGAGAACGACATAGCAATTTCAAAATGTTCTAAGAGCCACAAATTTAATTTGACAAAAACAGCCACGTGGGTTGCCTCTAGATTTACACTAGATAAGGAATCATATAGTGTAAAACCCATTTTCGAAAAATACTGGATTTTTCTTTTCTCGATATTGCCTTCATTAAAATCTCAAAAAATATAATAAAAGAACTCTCGGAGGGAACTGCTTTGGCCCTTGCGGTCAAAAATAAGATAAAAATCGAAGGAAGGAAAAGAGTTAATCAATTTCCCATCTCGGCGAATAATTAGCGACAATTATGATTTGACGTAAAAGACATTTTTATCGATGAAATTTCTGATGCCACCAAATTAATGAGGATGATTATGATTCACAAATGCATAGAATTCCGTCCTCTTACTGATAGTTTTATCAAAGTCTGATTGAATACTACAAATGCGCCAGTTGTTTTTACTTAACCTCTCAAATATCAGGTGGGAAGATCCGGCAGTTGCCCTTATATCATATAAACTACGTAAAAGTTTGGTTCTCTTCTCTTTAATTTGGAATTGTTCCAAATCATTTAGAACACTGAATTTTAGCAAGCACAGTTGCAAAAAAAATTCTCGGAAGTTTAAAGGTGGCTGTGAATTCATGTACGGCTGATTTTCACGTTGATAAACTTTTCCGGTCGTGTTTTTATAATCACAAGGGATATCGTTCTCAAATTGCAGCCATAGAAAGCAAAAAATGGATTCTATTAGATTCAAAATGTCATAAAAATTTAAAGTTGTAAATTTTAGCGTTCCTTGGCAGGTATTACTTTCAAATAAATCATTTTTCTGTAGAGGAAGACTGGGCCTGTATCCCAAAGTATATAATCCCAGCATACATTTCCTTATATATAACTGACACTGTCCTAACTGCCTACAAACTGCAGTAAAACGTGTGTTTTTTTAGAACGGAGAACAATTTCTATTATCGTTAGTGACTGCTAGCGGCAAAAAAAAAAAGAAAGGCCCGTAATTTATCAATCACAGCTCGTCTCTCTTCCCTGTGCTCCCAAATATAGACACAAGGATTCAGGGAAAAATTGAGAAAAACCCCCGTTTTCACGGGCACCAACCTTACCGTGACTGCTTTAGTTACCTCGGGTCCGATAATAACTCTTACAGTTACAAAGGGGGAAAATGGTATTGCATCAGTGGCGCAGGGTCCTTTTATAAGTCTGACAGCTGTAACGTAAGAAAATGGCGCATAAAACGATACCATTAAAAATGAGATCCATAGCAACTTATAGACTGTCTTTTTATACCTTAGCATGTGTCCTGTTTGTTGTCCGATTTCAGCAATCTACCTCGCTCGTCGACGACGCATAGTGACAAGAATCATTTAGTAACAGAAGGTACTCTTGAATATGTGCCAATTTCAACTTCACCTGCACCTTGAATAAAAAAAAGAAGCATCGATATATTTTTTCGTCGTTTGGTAAAGTAACTAAATGCCTCTGAGATACGAAGTTTATATGATAGTTGTTTCCTGTACAACTTCTGAACTGTGTTTCAACACCGTGGCACCCTTTAGGAGACCTTTATTGACCTTAATTGAGCTTAATTGGGGTCTTCTATTGTTTCTATTGTTTCATCAGTGACATGTTTTCTTGGAAACAGTGAGTTCTGTGATGAGGTATTGTATACGTTGTCATGAAGGAATCAAACTGTGCAGGTAGTTAAAAATGATTCTTTCCAAACATCAAAGCAGCGTTAGAAATATCTCGAAAATTAGGAAAGGTAATTATAGATCGAGGTCGTGATTGGCATCATTTTAATTATTTTTTTCTGTCATTTTGCGATTTGTGAATAATTAATTGACTGAGAGTAAGTTCCCATAGCAAAAAGCATATACAATACGTAACCAAATATTTCCAGCTGTCATAGCAACGATCACCATAGCAACAACACAGTCCCTCAGAGCAGTTGTGGTAGAAAGGAAACCGCTTTTTACTGATTGGTCCGTTTTCTGTCCTATGCAGTTAACGGGTTTTATTTCGTCCCTTTAATTGAAAACATCGTATTGTTTATAGCGACGGTTGGAAATCTCTTGGAGAAATAACATTAAGTTGGCCAGGAAACAAATATGATTTGTAAATACAACTATATTATAAATGAGCTTGAAGCTTTGCACCTCGGCGCACTGTGGCTATCGGTGTGGCTGTTTGTCGGTGTGGCTGTTTGTCGGTTTCTACTTCAACTGTAGAGATGACTTTATTTGTGAAATCAGAAGGAAATATGGACTGCCGTTTTTCTGGAAGCGAAAGCCCTTGTTTCAACAATGGTGGTGAGTTTTTGGTCTGTGTGGTTGCGTGCTGTCCCAATGAGGATTTCCTATGAGCAAACTTGCAATACTAAAAATCTTTTCTTTTTTATGATGATTTGATGAATGATGATTTAATAACTTTGACTCGCACAAATCAACTGAACTGTCGAATTTCCTTTTGGCTTATGAAGTATATTTGACAGGATCTACATATGTTTACTAAAAAAATATTGAATTCAAGAGCACCCACTGATTTTAACTGAAATTACTGCTTCAATGCTTTAGACAACGTTTCACCGAAATTCACGTAAGCATAAGCCGATCGAGGGAAATACTTTTACGGAAATGCCAGTTGTCTTCAAAGTACCACTTGTCATCCTCTTCAGCCTAAGGTCTCTGTTTTCTTCTCCTACATAATTGGCTAGAAGAATGTATATTCATTTTTTTTTGATAACCCCTTCTTTACTTTTGTTCTTGACAGTTTTACTTGATAAACTCTGGAAAACAAGCAAGCTCTTCAAGTTTCTTCTGGACCATCTCTCGCTGCAGCGGTACCAGTCGATCATTTCATGGGAAGGAGCCGATGGAGAATTCGTGATCCGTCGACCGGACCAAGTGGCTCTTTTGTGGGGAGAAAGAAATTGCAGACCAAACATGACTTATCAAAAATTCAGCCGTGCAATGCGTTATTACTACCACAAGAAAGTACTGACCAAAATTCGCGGTCGAAAGTACGCCTACAAGTTTAACTTCAAAGAGCTTGAGGTACAGTACGGTTACTACAGAAGTAAACCGTATCCTGCTTCTAAGAGTCACACAGAAAGCTATGCTATTCCATCTAGTTATGACGCCTTTCACTATTCAGACTCCATTAACAATTTTCCTGCAGCAATGGGGTTCATTAGTAACAGCAGTTACGGTTATCCCGCCACAATGGAGTTCGCAAGTAATGGTAGGTACGAGATTCCTGCCAATACTCATGGTTTCCAGTTCTTTAAAAACGACGTACGTTTTCAAAATGCAGAGATGTGAGAGAATCCGAAGCTTCATCAGAAAACGTTCTCTCTACTGGTAGACATTAACAGATAAAGAGAGTCTTCTTTTTACAAACTCTTCGGCAATTCATGTTGAGACTCTGCCAGGAGATAATTTGTTCTTCGATGGTCATTGCTGGCTTCAACTTGGAACACAGCTGACGATTATGTTTATTAAATCATAAGAATATCATCTGATAAATTGTTAATGTAACGACATTTATTTACTCTGACCTATTCAAATGTGATAAAGATGTCACGGAGGAAAAAACATGTCTAAAGAAAGAATTGGTAATTAATTTTGGATTAAACAATCGGAATGCACATAATGCTTCCAGTAGATCTTGTCACTTATGTATATCAAGATAATTACACTAACATTATTTTGGTATAGGTGGGAAAAAGTTTCTTAATCACAAGGGCGAGGAGTGTATCACAATTTAAATTAATATTATTACATGAATAGATGAATACAATAAACCATATTATCATGTAACTATGGTGTTTTACAGGATTTCAAACCCTGAGAAAAGGTCGCAACTAAACGCATATAAGATTATGTTAATTTTTTTACATGCGTTTAATATTGTCAATCAGCCACTAACACCTAAGTCGCCTTTAATTTCGCACCACTGTGTCATGTTCAGTGATGAATGGCAAAGCGTTCACCATTCTCAATCCAAGGTCCCTAGTCGAAATTTTCTCGGATTAGGGCTGCTAACAACACTGAATGATTCGTATCGTCCACCGACAGCGACGTTCAAAATCTTCCAGAAGCGGAGGAAGGTCAAAACAAAAAAGAAAACCGAAAGTGACTTGTCACAGGTAATGTCATTATTTCCATTCACTCATTAATGCAGTCGATGTTTTTGTCAGGAAAAAGGCCTATGGTGTTAATATAATATACAAAAGATACATATAGAATGTCTCCTCTCGTTTTCAACTCGACAACTGCAGCTAGAGAGTGAGCTGCGCTCACTCTTGAGATATTGAGGTGAACAAGAAGAGAAAATCCAAATTCGTAGGCCCATGTGTTATTCTCTATTTACCAACTTCAATTGAACCTCTTCGGTTTGAACACAGACGGAACAGAACAAAGCGTCAGTACTACAGGAGGAGGGCATTGGGGTCTATTAAAAACCGCAAAACCGTAGAAAAAAAAATCATACAAAACCGCGAAACCGTAAAAAAAAAATTGCTCAAAACCGATAACCGCATGCAAAACCATCAAAACCAATAAAGTTTCACATTCCAGTTACCCAAACCCTAATCGATCCAATACAGAGGTGAAAAGTGGAGCAAAAAGAGATTTTCGCAGCTATGAGAGATCCGTGGAGGCGAAAAACTGCCGCTCAGATCGAAGAAAAACCGAAAAACAAAAAAGGAAAAACCGAAAACCACATCGAATATCAAATCCGAAAAACAAATGCTAAAAAGTGGAAAATCTGCAAACCGCAATTAACACTTAAACCCCAAAACCGAAAAACCGATCTAAAAGATTTCCAAAACCGCAAAATTGAAAATTCTAATGCCCCCTCTTACAGAGGTGACTGTTTCATAAAGGTCAATATGACACCTTCGATTATGTTCGTTTAACTGCAAACAGGAAATGTTGTAACATATACCAAAGCTTACCAAGTGATCACCAGAGTGTCTGTCGTGTAGGTTAAGGTTATACCGTATTTTCTCTCTATGATCGGGAGTAACAGTTCGTTGTCAGTTTATATCGAAGAAAACTAAACTCTTGGGCACGAGTGTTTCATTGACCGCGAGAAAGTTGGAGGCCTTTAGGGAAGCATGAGGTCTGTAAAGGGTCTGGGACTGATAAGAGGGTCATACCATTTGCAGACCTACCGCTGGCTCATTTTTCTCGAGGACAAAGAAATAATCATGCCGTAGTGCTATTGATGAGCGAATGCTTGTGTAATTGTGGGATAGTATGGACTTAGAGAGATTTGCTTGTGTTATGGAGGAATCTGTAAGGAGAGGTGCGACTGTATGATTTTAAATAACTTATTTCAGGTTTCCTAATTCAATTATAAAAGAATGCAAGGGCTCTTAGTCTTTACCCTCCAGGCTAAATTTTTACCGACAAACAAGCAAAGAGCGGAAATTATGTAATCGTGGATCTGAATTCTAATTAAACATGCTGAAATAATACAATTGAAAATTTTTTAAAAAATTGTTCGGGGTGATTATATAGCCTTTCGAGACAACTCTTTCTATCCCAAGTTCAACTTCAGCTAATTTCTGTTTTCGAGTGAAAATGATCGTTTCTAGGTCACCTTTGGTTTGTCCGCTGGATTCCTCCCAATTCCTTGTTAAAAATCGTGCGGTTTTTTTACCATGATAATTAAAAAATTAAAGCCTGCGGATGCAAAATGCGAAATGATTAGATTGGTCGCAAATAAACAAGATTTGAGACCATTTAAAGAAACAAGACAGCCCGAGATGGCGAAAACTAAGCTGCTTTATTTCAAATCAAAGGAAAATATCTCAGTAATCATTCAACTGATCTCTCTTTGGGAGTGCATTGTGAGTGATGAATTTGGATCTTGCTATTAAGCACCAAATGTTACTGTGCCGAAGCCCTAATCAGATACACAGCTCACTCAAGTTCTGCGCTCGTTATCGCGAAATTTCGTTACAAATAAACAATCGAGAGATTTTCCCGTGATAACAAACCTCATTTGAACACCAGGAGGGGTTTGCAAATTCCCAACATTTATGCAAACCCTTAAGTGTTGCTCGGGTTCTGTTTGAAGACTTTCGAGAATCCTCCGCACCACACGGGTGCTTCGATGACCTAAGTAACGTAAAATTGAAGATATACTCCAGTATCTTTGAATACATTCTTTTAAAAATAACTCAAATCTGAAATGTGGTCATTGTGTTTACATGCTCTCATTTCACTTCACCAATCAACCTATGAGAACGAGCCTAAAAATTTTAGATTTGTCATATAAATACTGAATATCTCGTTTTAATACAATGGATGGACTGCAAGTCAATTTATATAATTATGACTATATTGTAAATGGACATTTGGTCTGAACACTATTACTGACCTTTTAACATAACCTCTTGGGCTCAGCCACCGATATAGATACTTTTGGCTGAGTTTTGAGTTACACGCCTGGCTACATCGAAAGTTGGCAAACGAGCAAACAAACAAGACCCTATTATTCTCGGCCAATCACACTCCATAAGGGGGTAACTACATAAGAGCCACATTGGATACATCTAATCATCTGCTTGACCTAGCACGTTTGCTGACAGTTGGCTCCCGACTTCTCCTAGTGCTGATCGTAATCATTTGCTTTAAAGGTAGGATCAGGGATGCTATTAATTCGTTTTGCCGAGCCCTAGATTAATTCAGTTCTTTGCATGGCCAATATTTAGCAGCTGCATACTTCATAAGGTCTATGGGTCAAAATGGGTTAAAAGGAGTATTAAGATCGAAAGAGAGTTAGTGGCAGAGCTGAGAAAGGTTAAACGTAAACGTAAGTTAAAAGAGCTACATGAACAGAAGTCTAAAGACCAAAAGAGACTTGGTGGCAGAGCTGGGAGGTTTCGGACTTAAGGTGTATGGCACGCAAACGTTCTCCGTGCTACCTGGGGAAGAAAACTTAGACTTGAAGCTTTTGCGCCATGATATTTTTAACCATGTAACCTCTATACCTCCTGATTTGGTCCAGTTCGTCATCTCAGTAAAAACTTTTACAATTCTCGTTCGGACTTTTTTTGTTTGCAGGTATTTGCTACAAAATTGTAGCGAGATTGAAATAATATTGATTACGTAATATTTACGTTGTTGTCGCTAATTATAAAACTATATACGGCAAGAGGTCGAGACCTATTTATCAAAATTATGTAGAAAATGTCTGTCGAAAGTCACACGTGATTGTCGAACGTGATTGTCGCACGTGAGTGTCGCACATGCGATCGTAGCCATGAATGATTAGACTACTTGATTACGTAATATTGCCGCTATTGACGCAAGAGATTGTAAACACTATTTATTCTCTTGGTTAACGTTATTATTTAAGCACAAAGGGTAAGACCTAAAGCCGAGCTGTCAACTATATGCAAATGTATTTCGAATGTTACACGCGGCACGTGTCTGTTACACGCGCATGAATGGAGGAGGTAGACTTTGCACTCTGAAAATCTACGCGATCGGGAGCGTCCGGATGGTTCACCTTAGACTTAATGAAAAATTTATATCAATTCAGAAAACTTCCCTTTTTCGCATCAACCAAATGTTTTTTTTAGGTATGTGGAATAAATTGATGGCTGACATGCAGTTTCCTTCTACACCTATTTTCATTCTCTTATTAAAAACCAAAGGAAAACTGGAGGGAGCTTGCTTATGAAGCTGAGAAAAACCATACCAAACCAGCACCTCGATTAAGTTCTGTAAAATAAGCTTCACTGAAACTTAAATTTGACTTCCGTTTTGATTTGTCAGGAAATATGTCTCAGATGACTTCGATGAGGTATTTCCTCAAGCCACGGTACCTTGCACGTGTACCAAGACGACTCGAGTCTCAGTTACAACGGCAAGATCCCATCTCCACTCGACTCAAGCTTAAAGAGAAACTTAACATTCTCTTTTTCTCAAACAAGCACAACAGCCTCAGTCAAAGGATGGCTCTGGAACTAAGACAGAGACAACACAACATCACCGTGCATGAGATCAACGAGCCTGCAGAGATGACAAAATTAGCTTTTGATGCCCAACCCGATCTCATTCTTTGTCCATTTCTCACCAAACGAATTCCAGAAGAAGTGTTTTCTAATCCCAACATTCCTTGTTGGATTGTTCATCCTGGAATCGAGGGCGACCGTGGCATGAGTTCTATTGACTGGGCCTTGTATGACATGGAGGACGAGTGGGGAGTAAGCGTCCTTCAGGCGGATTCGGAGATGGACGCAGGTGATATTTGGAGCACCAAAACCTTCCCTGTCAGGCGCCCAAATGTCAACACACTGACCAAGTCGAGCTTGTATGTGAATGAAGTCACACAAACAGCCGTGAAAGCTACTTTGGAAGCCATAACTAACCTCTTATCGGGACAGACACCCAGACCACTTAATTACAACAATCCATAAGTGAGGGGAACCTGCCGCCCTAACATGACCAAGGCTGACCGAACTGTGAACTGGGAATTGCCAGCTGACGAGGTAGCCTGTCAGATTCGCATGTCTGACTCAGCACCAGGAGCAGTCGGTCGCTTTAGAGCGAAAGGAGGAGATGGCAATTGGAACTGGACCAAGGACTTTCGCCTCTTTGGAGCACATCTGGAGAAAGGAAGACTTAGATTCCTGACAGGAAAACCTGGTGAAATATTAGGCCAACGCCATGGATCTGTTTTAATCAAGTGCGGCAGGGGGGCTTTATGGGTTTCACATCTGAAGAAAAACAAACTTAAACTCCCCGCCACCATGTGGCTAAAAACTGGTGCCCCAACCGTAGCAGACTCCTTTCCATCCATCCCATACGGGTCCTATCCTAACACAGCTCAGGATATCTGGACAAGTATGACGCCTGACGGTGTCTGCTTTGTACACTTCGAGTTCTACAACGGAGCTATGAGCACCAGCCAATGTCAGCGTCTGGTTTCCGTTCTGCAAAAGGTGGAGGAGAATGACTTTTGCAAGGTAATGGTTCTGATGGGTGGTCGAGACGTGTTCAGCAATGGTATCCACCTTAATGTTATCGAAGCAGCCGAAGACCCAGTTGAGGAATCATGGAAGAACATCAATGCGATCAACGATGTCGTGCGTTGCATCTTCACCAGCAAAAAGATCACCGTCTCGGCCTTACGTGGAAACGCTGGTGCTGGTGGAGCCATGATGGCTTTGGCTAGCGACTTCGCCTTTGCACGTGATGGGGTGGTGCTGAATCCTCACTATAAGCTAATGAAGCTTTATGGTTCAGAATATCACACATACTTTCTGCCAAAGCGTGTGGGTCAAAAAAAGGCGAGTGAGTTATTGTTCAGTGCTGAACCCATCCTGGCCTCTGAAGCCGCTCAAATTGGTTTTCTGGATGGTTGTGTAGGAGACAGCGTCGAAGAATTTGACATGTGGATTAAAGAAGAAGCAATGTACCTTGCAAGACCGTCTTTGCAGCAACATTTTTCCCAAGTAAAGAATCAAAAAGCAAACCCGGAAGTCTTGAAGGAAATTGAGGAATGCCGCTCAGGTGAACTGGCATTCATGGCTAGAAACTTTCAGGATCCTGAGTACCACATGGCCAGAAAATACTTTGTTTATCACTAAGCCAGGCAGTGTGATGTTAATCTGCAGAGTCAAAAGCTTTGCTTCTTTTTCTTACTGTGTGTACTAAGGTCACTAAGACATAACGCTGAACAATTACGGGAGCTGAAAGTTCCGTTCGCTTTTTTTTTCTTGAATCCCTGGGTTTTAGTAGACATTTTCACAGCAGTTCATTTACGCTTAGATAAAAGAATCATTTAAATAGAAGTCAAACGGTTATACTCAGAATGCTTAGTCGTAGTTATTTACATTGCACTAAGGAGAATGGAGTGGATTCCTCGTGAAAAGGAGGATCAATTAAAAACTGTTACCACCAAAAGTGAGACTGTCGAGGTTTTCTTTCATTTTGAAAAACGTGAAGAGACAACAAAAAATAAAAAATAACCGTTAGAAAAAGTGGAAGCTATTACAGATAACCAGATAACTTCAGGTTTAAATAAATCCATTTCATTGAAAATTCCTTTTTTTTCTCAAAAAGCCTTTTTAAAATAGTTCGTATTACATCAAAAAAGTTGAATCAAATGTAAATTCTTTCCATATTAATGTTCATTCCTGTAGAGCTTTTTCTTTTCGGGATTTTCCCAGACTCGTTTGTTTGATTGAGACTGACGTCATGGTGGTGGTCTCCAGGAAGCTTCGTCAGCTTCTTTCCACTCTATGTAAGCTTGCCTGAAAGGGAAGATTTCTGCAGGCAAATGAAAATAAAGCACGGAACAAGTTTGTCGAAAGTCGACCAAAAACGCCCGTAGAACTAATGGCCTGTTGAGAGAGTATGTTTTAATATCTAAGCCAAACGTTTGATTTTTCCTTCCTCTCCTAACCATCTTCGCCAAATCGACTTCACAAGCCAGGAAACCTTTTGTAAACAGCAGTCACAACGCAGTTAAAAACCAGTATGGTTGAGATCGTAGAACCAGTTTCACGCCAGGTCGAGATGATGATGTAGCTTTGAATCTTTAGAAGATGTTCTATTGGAAAACAAAAAAGTAATAACTAAAATAAATCATAACTTGATTTGGCCATTTCTTGCGGATCATGCAGGAATATTTGTGGGGGAATTCACAAAGTTCTTGGGAGTATTTCTCATAAGGCTTTCTGCTTATTGAGTACATATTCTTTGTAAAACTTGATGATAACTTTTACCCTCAAAAACGAACTCGAGCGCAGGTTCCAGAGGTTTACAGCTGCTTTTTATCACTTTCCATGACCAGTCTTCTGACCGTTTCGTTTCCCTCCATACCCTCTCGGCCAACCGTTTCGATCCAATGCATATTTTCTCAGCTAACCGGAAAGCACTTTCCTTTGAGACACTGCCCAACCATTCAATCTGATCCTTTATCCATTCCATTTCGTTCCAAGTCATTCTTGACTATCAATTCAATTTCAATTTCCTGTACGCAATTTCAGCCTTTTTTACTTTTTGGGATTAATCGACGTGCTCTCAGCCAATGGGCATGCTTGAAATTGCATATGTATTGTGAGGGGGATTAGTTAGCCAATTCATTGGCAAGCTAAGGTGTCATTCCTGTATAAACTATGGATAACCGAAAGCTCAGTGCAGAGTTCGTGCTTCTGCCGTCCCAAACTTGATTGCAATAGGTTCGACTTGTGCACGACAGAAACACGACTCTGATTCAGAAGTCGGGTAGCGCCACTCAACATGTTGCACCATCCGACTCTGGGGCGATGTCGGATTATGAGTCAAAAGTTATTACAGCACTGTGACTGAATAATTTCCACACCGCACTTATTCTGAGGCAAAGGCAATGAAACTAAACAAAAAGCAGGTCTCAGTATTTTGGCCTGGGTACAATACAAAGTTTCCAGTAAACGGGCATATCTGGGTGAGAAAGTGGACATTCCTTGCCAGACCAAAAAAAAAAAAAAAAAAAAGGCAACAGATAAGTGGGGGGTGGGGCCGGGAGATAAGGAACCGTTGTTTACCACTATTGGAACTTTATTAAAGAGCTATGGCTTCAGTGTTATTTACAGCATACTAATTAGGAGCCTACTAAATTTAATGGATCCTGATAATTTTTTTCAATTAATTTTATAGGCATTGCTAATAATATCGGTGGCTCCGTCTACACCTACAAAATGAAGTTTGAGCCTAAAAATCTAGAAGACTTACAAAAGAGGTCTTTGTTTCCTTTATAGTACAACTAGCCTTATTTGCAGTATTCCACTGGAGGAACTGCTAGTGGTCAACATTATGCCCTTAATTTGAAAGTGAGTGATTTAAATGAATTCATAACTAGGAAAAATGGATTCTAATCGAATTACAATAGTTTAAAATTGCATTTGCAGCCGTTAACATTACGTTTGCAGCCTAATTTCTTCCTAAATGAGTCGAGTAGCAAGGAAAAGCAAGAGGGAATTAATGCTAGTAGGATAGATGTTTGTGCCATTTTTGCCCCTCAATTGTTTGCTGCCATCTTATGTTTTTCAAACCCTTTAACTCTCAAGATCAGATTGTTAATTCTCCTCTCTGGCAGCTAAACATTTCCAGGTTAGTAAGTTACAAGAATTTAGTTTTAGATCAAGATAAAAAGTTCTACCTAATAAGTGCGAGTTTAATCATTACCTGTTTGAAGGATAATGTAGGGAAATTATGGGGAGAAGTTATATTTTAATCACTTTTGGGAGTTAAAGGGTTGAAGCTGACTACCACAAAATCAATGAAGAACACTGATCTTTCTTCCGTACTAAAGCCTGAGTTTAATCTCCATAGGGGATTCAAACCCTACCCTGTTCAGAATCCATGGTAAGTTGCCCTACAAACTAAGAATTTATAATACAAATGTTACTAGGTTTCTTAAGGCTGATTTCAATACCCTTTTGACATTGTTATGGAGTTACAAGAGTCCAACAAAAATACTAAAATATTCATCTTTAAAAGAACAAAAGCAGCAAATGTATTAGTATATAAGGAAAGTAAAATAAAACATTTAGACAAAGAAATACAACATTTCCCTTGTTATGACAATTATTATACCACAATTATAAATTTAGTACCTTATGCACGTGTCTAAAGGAAAAAAAAGAAACATTACAACTTCTCCATGAGGAAGTGCTCCCTTCTCAGTGCAATTAAATAACTTATTTGGCCTTATCAAACTCTAAAAGGTAATTCACGTGAAATTTTTATTGCTACTAGTCTGTTGTAAACTAAAATTGTTGATGCTCTTTTAACTGGAAGTCTTGCATCTGTGCAGTAAAAAAGAAGAGAAGATTTGTGGATAATTTTCAGTCACACACCATTCCTACTTCAGTATCATTTGATCCTCAGTATCACCTCGCCCCTACCAAAAAGAAAATAAACACATGCAGCACTGAGGCAAGACTGTAGTAACAACAATATACAGTGTACTGTTCTTTTCTCTGTCCTATGCTGATGAAAAGATGGAAATAAACATCTTTCTCTATTTCATCATTGAGCTCAAAATTTACCATCTTCCTTAATCCATTTACGCACATGACACTTTCAACATTGCTGAACTTATCACTACACAGGAGGTGTGTCACATAGGAACCTAGTAAAAGCCAAGCTCACCAGAGTCTCAATGGCTCAGTGATAGAGCATCAGAGCATGGAACCCGATGGTCTGAGGTTTGATTCCTGGACAATTAAAGTATTTCTTTACCCTATGCTCTTGACCAGACAAAATAAATTCCTTATGTATAACAATCTATCCCATTAACTCCTATGAGTGACCAAGACAGAATTTCTCCTTACAATATTAAAGCAATATCAACCAGAGAAGTGATGAGAATAAAGAAAAAAATATCAAATTGGGCATAATTAGTTGATCCAATACTAAATTCTCCGATCTAACATTATAAGAATTGTATGGGTGACAATAAGGAGAATGAAAAATTTGATCTGGGAGTTAAGGGGCTACAGTTGCATTTTGTGGGAAACACAGTGGCCTAATGGTCAGTGCACTGGACTCTGGGTTGGGAGGTCTGCATTCAAGACCTGGCCAGGTCAACTGTGTTGTGTTCTTAGGCAAAACACTACACTCTCACAGTACCTCTCTCCATCCAGGAGTATAAATGGGTACTGGCAAATTGTCAGGGAAGCCTGGTGAAATACGGGTGAGTTACTTTGTGATGGACTGGCATCCCTTCCACAGGGGAGTAGTAATAATCCTAGTTACTTTATACTACTTGGAAACTGGGATAAGCCCCAGCTGAATGGGCTAATAGGCTCATGTACAGACCTTACCTTTTACATTCGCATTTCTCTATTCCAACACAATTATCATAACATATTAACCTTAAATTCTTTAAACTGTTCCAAGAGCCCTAAATCAGAAAAAGGTAAAGAAGTCTTACCATGCGTCTTCTAACATCATATTTACCAAGGGCATCCCGTGATCTTGGTAGGCTGACACTTAGCCTTGAGTTATCAACTGGGAGTTGTTTTCTATCCATCTAACAAAAACAGAGAATGATTGTAGACATCTGTTAAACATCTGTCCTTATAATTATCATTATAATTATTACTGGAATATTTCTGATATTTTGAAATAATGTCAAGCCTTTCATTAACCTTTCCCCTCCCAATATCCTTAATCTCACTTCACTACACGTCTTTAATTATTTCTTTTGGATTTCAGCTTTGAGAAACTTGTCTCAATAAACTAATATACGTTATACACAGCTTTTGATATTGTTTCAGAAAACAAAAGAAAACAAGTGAGGTAGAGAAGACTGTTGTAAAATTTTTATGAGAAAACAGTACTGGCAGTACTTACACTTGACATAACATCTCTTGGTAGGCCTCTCATGTCTTTAAAACTGTCTGGAGGATTCATAATTTTCTTCTGAAGATTATCTCTGGAGAGTGGTTGCTGTTTGTTTTCAGTTTCCTCTCCTTCGTCCTTTTGTGGGTCATCTACATCCTTGTCAGACTCATCATCTTCATTTCCTTCGTTCTCATTCTCTTCACCATTTTCATCCTCTTCACCATTTTCATCCTCTTGATCTCTCACACGTTCATTCTTATCTTTTCCTTTCATATCCTTCTCCTCACTGCTGGTAGGAGTTATTTGTCCCTGTCCATTGTCCATCACTTTCTTTTTATTCTCCTCCTGGTTGTTCCTTTCACTGTTAGCTTCATCCTCATTTCCTTGTTGACTGTTCTTGTCACTAACAGAACTCTTTTCAGGTGGCTGTTGGGCACCTCCATTATCTTTAGTCACCACTTTCTCATCTTCATCTGATCCCCCAGTGATATCCTGTTTCAATTTATCCAAAATTCCAATGCTTCTTTTCGTTGGAGAACTAGCAACTTCTTCACTTTGAGACTTATCTCCAATCGACTTTATGTTCTTTACATCTGAAACATTTGCTGCTGAGGAGGAATTCGCAATCCCAGCTCCTTCCATGTTTGTCTCTGATGTGCTTGGTACAGGTTTCTTTGGTTCATCTGTTTTTTTCTCATCTCTGTCATTGTCCTCATTTTCAGTTGGTTCCTTATTGGGTTTTGTGGGGACCTTATTGACTGATGGTGAAAGAAAAACACAATATGCCTATTTATAGCACTTGGTAATTGAACTGAGTGGAGTGCAATTTGGTCTGAAATCATAACTGTGATTTCAAGATCAAATGAGCACCCAGCACAAGTTTGATATGAAATCATAAGTATGATTTCAGGCCAAAATTACATACACAAAGTTCAATTACCACTGTTCTACATCCATTTTTAAATAACAAATTTGAGTCCCTCAAATACAGGATTTTTTAGTCCATGCACACATTTATTTGATCCAGTACTAAGCTAGTTTGTAAAACAATGCAAAAGTTGTCTTGTTTGAATGGTTATTTCATACATGCCTTGAAATCTTATTTGTCATTGTGTCGTGTCTCAGTAAAGCTTTTTCACTGGCTGGGGAAAAGATGGAGTTTGGAGAAAAAAATAAATGTAATTCATGAATAAATCCCACCAATGAGAGCCAATAAGATTGCAAAGATCACCAGTGATTTCAACATGGATGCTATATAAAGAAATACATGCATGGAATGAAATAAATCATACTTAGTAAGAAGTACAAAGGAAATTTCACACGAAACAGTTCTGAAAATTTTAAAGGCATGAAGTATTAAACATGATCAGGAGCACTGTAGGCACCAACATATTTGACAGCAACAAAGTCATCTTAGGAGAATGGCAGTGGAAAGATATACTATGAAGATACACTGTATGTTGGCAAAAAGAAGTAATTGTGTTGACTTATTTTTTTACCTGCTCTATTCTTTAAGTCTTCAAGTTCTGTCTTGACATTTGCTAATTCCTTCTGGTAAAAATCCCTTTAATAAAAAGTGCAATTCAGATGTCAACTGATGGCATGTGCACTTATGGCTGTAACTTGAAGATTCGAGAGAGTTTAAACAACAGTGGTTGCTGATGGTAGGAAACTCAAGGGGGGATTTTTTTTTTTAAAGAAAAACCAAATAACTGAAGGATATAAAACCTTCCATGCATATAATACTTTGACTTTGGCAACCTATACCAAGTCTTAATTGTTTTGAGGGAAATATAATTTATTAGATAATAATGTTGCTGAAAATAAAATCGAGTAATATATGAAACACATCCTAAATGTCACTGGTATTCATGTAATGAAAAGAAATTCACCTCTGAGATGTCACCTTAGAAATCTGTTGGAGAAGTGCAGAGTGATTAACCTTAATATCTTGATAGCTTTTCAACAGCTGATCAGCCTTTCCTGTCATGAAAAAAAAGTTTTTATTTGAAGCAGCAACACAACTGTGGAGATACGTTGCATGACAGCATTAAGTATCACTAACCTTTTAATGTTTTGAGACCTGAAGATGAGCTGTTTACTCCTTTTTTCAGTTTCTCTAACTCCATTAGGTAATTTTGCTTTGAAAACAAAAACAAAAAATAGGAAGTCAAAGACTTAATGTGGCTACTGGTATAGCATAATATTTATTATGAAAAGTACTAGAGGTTGCATAAGGTAGTGTTGCAGAATATTAGTCTCACATGCTAAATGGAAAATCTGCCACATTCCACATATTTATGAGTACCCTGTTCCACAAGAGAAACATAACTCTGTAATGTCTAATTGACATTCAATCAATAATTAACAGTAACAAATAATAATATTCATAATAACAATAATGATAATAAAAAAGGGGCTAGCTGGAAAGCCTCATGGTTCTCCAGTCCTCTCGGTTTCAACAAAGATAAACCTATGCTTCTTTTAATTTCATTTATTAATTATAAATAATTTTCTTAACTTATTGCAACTCCATTTTTTGAGACTTTGGTTTGATACAAAGAGGCATTCTACATTTAAGGATAATCCATCAATCCATCATTCCTCCATTCCATCATTCTATTGAATAACTCAAGTTATATGTATCCTTGCTTGCTGGATAAATTTAGCAGCTATTTTTGGCAAAAGTTGCCGATTCATACAGAAAAATGCTCTCTTTTCAATGAAAAGAAAGCTTCCTCAAAGCTTCCTTGATGTGTAGATCACATCTATTGAGATACTTGTGCAAGGAAAAGTTTTGATTTAAATTATGCATCGCTGAATGCCACTTTTGTACAGTCATCAAAAGAACTGTAGAGATTATCCCTTCAGATCTACATAATTCACTGATTTAAACAGCAAAATGTTCTCTCTTCAGAGAAAAAAAAAATTCCTCTAAGTTTCTGGATGCACCAATTACACCTGCAAGGTAAACTTTTGGTTTCAATCATGTGCAATCCTTAAATGATTGTGAGATGTTAATCGTCTTCTGCTGTTTTCTGTAGTGTCACAGCAAGAACTGAAAACATAATGGGCTAGTGGCTATGAGTCGGAAATCACAAAAGGAGAGAATTCAACGGTTTAACAAGTGGGAATGTCGAACTATATGCATTGTATCAAGATACTCCAAGCCAATCATAACTTATAATTAGCATGCACACATCTCAACAATTGATTGTAAAGGTAGAAATACATGAAGGTGCATAGAGAAAAACTTAACTGAAATACGGTTGATCAGTGGAGAGTGACATGACTTGTATTATCGAGCATACAAATTAACATAACAAGCGACACGTTCTCGGTTGCAAAAAGCAGGTTGCTTAGCTACTGTCAAAATTATTGAGGTCTTTCGTAGCGTACTGGAAGAAGCCAGCACGTGAATATGTTGAAAGAACTCGGATGTGAAAAGTATCTATACATATAAAAGTACACACGAAGATAAGTTTCGTTAAAGAAAAAAAAAAGCCTCCAATGTGCTAATCGTATGCGGATAATATATGCACACATTTCACTAATGGAGTTTACGTTTTGAAAGCACTACCAACCTCTTGCTGTCGAACTTTTGATAATTCAACCTCTTTCTTTTGCAAAGATTCTGATAACTCAGCATTTCTGTCGTCTTTGGAGGTGATAACCTTATCTTTTTGCTCTTTGTCTTCTTGCAATTGAGTGATTTGGGTTAGTAGAGCAGAACCTTTTTTGTCTGCTGTCAGCTTTCGAGCCGCTAAGACACGTAACCGGTCTTGTAAGACGCTAACATCTCTAAGTAACTTATTATTTTTGGAAGAAACACCCCAGTAGCTGTAGAAGAGTATTATAACGATGACTACTAGCCCGACTAGGATGAAAGATGGACCTCTGCCCGGTCTAAATACTAGGCCATTGGACGCCATGATGAAAGCTGCCTAGAAAACTTACCCAGAGTTCTGTGCGACCATAAGAGGGCTTGATTGTATAATTACGGGTCTCAACAAAATAATTATTCAAATATATTGTACAACCTTATTATTTAGCCTCTCTTTTCTTTTTTTTTTTTTCCTCACAAGCATATGAATTGGCATTGCTGTGGTTAAAACGTCTCATAAGTTATATGAAGTACCCGCACTTAACATAAGGTTTTCCCGCTTTGAACAGCTGGCCAAAATTGGCCACGCCCTAACTTAAGTGTTTTGAGTAATATTTTGTCTCGACTTCAAGTGCATGTATCAGACTTCATTGATAAAAAAAAGCAGTGAGAGAGTTTGTATAGGACCACATGATCGAAAAGCAATATCAGCTTTGTTTTGTCAACTTTCGCAAAAAAATTAGAATTAGAAAATTATTCATTTGCTCTTAATTGTCACCACTAAGAAAACTAAAAACACGGAAAAACATGAAGCCGGGTTCATTTTCAAGATTGACGAGCCATGTGATTTTTGCTTGACAAAGTTTGAACAGATGTCGATTCATAGAATGGTGAAGATTCTTAGGTTACGTAAACTTTATCTGTATGCCACTGATAGAGTTGCTTTGTTGTTGTTTGGATGTGATAATGTATTGCTGTTATCTAATTATTATTCAATAATTATTCTTACTAAGGACTGAAAAGGAATTATGTCAGAAAGATATGACTGTTTGCATATCAGGTCGTTCAAACACGGACTGTAAATTGCGTTCATTAAACTATGTTTGATGTAACAATGAAGAACAAGTGCCGAGACTAATCAAATGTTGTTAAACTGCACGAAAAATAAAAAAAACAGCTCTTAATTCATACTATTCAACTTTCGCAGCCATTGCGTAGTCTCGTCTCGCAATGTTGTCTCTTCCCGGTGGAGATGAGAAAGTGCTAAGTGACAAGACAAAAGTACGGCTGCGAAGGAGACTGAACATAAACAACTAAAACACTTGCAATAACTTAGAGGGTAGTTCGGTTGCTAAGTAGTGTAGAAGTACAAATCAATTCGTGACGATCGAAAAATATCTTTCACTCGTTTTGCTTCCTACGTTACTTAAAATGAAAAGCATATAACTATAGCATAGGCTATATGCTTCTGGTCAATATATCACAATAAAATGGCGTCCCCATCTTAGTAACTTGCCTCACGCAAAACTACAGAAATTGTAATAAGTACGAGATATCATGTGGAATTTTCGATGTGGTTTCTTACTCTGTTTTCATACTTGTCACAAAATTAAAGATGATTCAACTTTGCAGCAGCAGTCAGCAGCAGCCAATGCGTCGTACAGGCACATTCAGTTTTTAAATTAATACGAATTAATTTTTCATACAAACCTCCTTCTTCTGCGCGCTATCCAGTAGCCTCTGTTTTATTTCTAGTTCTTCCCTGAGAGCAGAAGCTTTTTCAAAGGCTGTTCTTTCGTTTCCTATTCTCCTTTCCTTTTCCTTACTCAAATCTTTCTCTAACACGTGTTTTTGATTTTCAATATGAAACACTTTGCTCTCTAGTGCCGTGCGGCGTTGGTCTACCATCAACTTACTGCTTCGAATGACGTTCATTTCTCGCAGAAGCGTTTGATTTGTGGCGGTGAGTGTCCATAAATAGTAGGTCAAAACAATGATCGTTAAAATAAGCACAGTTAACAAGATTGGTGGGGCACGTGAGCGGGAATAAAAGGAACTTTTCATCGTTGGTTTTTCGGTACCTTTCATCATTTTCAAATCTGATGCAGAGAGAACGCTTCTTTGTTATACGTGGTTTCTACGCGTGTCAATCGAATGCTATTTAGATAAGTTCATAACCATGGTTATCGACTTGAATTTGAATATGGTTACACTAATCATTAAGAAACAATGTAAGGGAATGTCTTGCCTCTGATGGAAATAATGGAGGTCAGTTGCTTCCAAAGCAAGATCAGTTAGGTTAAAAATTTTCATACAGTTTAAATCGAAAGTCTGCATGGGCTCTGCTGACTGGAAAGAAGTAATCTCTGCGATCCTTTTAAGATATTTGAGACCATCGTAATTAAAAGTTTGATGGGATTCGACCGTGATTTTGACACCCGATACACGTTTTTATCGAAATGGAGGTGTAAGAAACGATCTCGCGCTCGATTAAGGAAATGAGTTCGATATTGATAACACAACAGACTTATTCCTACAAGCCTGGCTCAGACACCACAAATCTTGGCTCGCTTAGCAAACAAATTTCCGAAATAGAGAATGATGTTTTTCGTCTTATCACGAACATGGGACTGCAAAAAAAAAAAATTCTGATTTGCCATGAAGAATGGAACCTCAGACTTAGGATTCCTTTGCTCCGATGCTCTACCTCTGAGCCACAGAGACTCTGGAGTGAACAAGGCTATTTCCGCGTTGAAGTTCAAACATAACACGCGTCAGTGCATACTGCTAGGATCAGCAATGTCGTTAGCCTCATGCTTTTAAATAGAATAAGAAAGACAGTAAAGTTTGAGCTCGGTGGAATCCGAATGTCCAGGGTTCGATTCCTCATGGGGACTCACGGTACATCTTTATTTCTTCACCGGGCTCAAAATTTGAAAGACCAGATAGCGGACATAAAGAAACTCTGCGAGCACATGAAGTTAGAATGAAAAAGAACGCAAATAAACTATTCTTCTGTAGTGCTTCCGTTGTAGTTGAAGCTCAAAAAGTTATAAA